CAAATAATCATTTTTAATCATTTATTCGTTTTATTTAAAGACATGAAGGTTTTGGCATTGTGTAAATATATTTGGTTAGGTTATTTAATTAAGTTTCAATTAAGTTTATTATTTCTATAGATCCACATCAAAAAAAAAAAAAAAGACAAAACTTATTTTAATAATTTGATTCAAAATGATGGTTGGTCCAAGTCATTTGGGTCACTTAACATCAATAAACTGCTTACAATTGCCTAGGCTAAATATACAGTAGACATATTAATGTATTATACACATGCACAACTTGCATCAAGATTAGCTTCATCTTTCTTTAAATAATTTCAGTTGTCTGAGTATTATTTATTTTAAAAACATAAGAAGCAATTTCTCACATTGTTGTTTTTTCAAAATGCATCTGATAATACAATAATTCTTGGGTTCAATGATAGATTGGTTCATATATTCTAATTTCCCACTACAATCAGTTAAAAAACGATAAGGGTGGTGTATGGTATTTCACCATTTGTGCTGAATCACCCCCCACTTACCCTAATATCTATTTTCCCAATGTCAAACTAGAGTCAAGTTCAACAGGATCTTCTTTCCCCACTAATTTTGCTAAGCCCATTATTATATACAGCACATACATTGCTGTATTCAATTTATTTTTTTCAACATGTTATAATATAAAATATTTTTCTCTCTTTTGGCCCCTAAAAAATTTGATCAATTTGTTAATGTTTAGAACATATCGAGAAACAAAAATAATATAAAATAGAAATGATACATACTCAGACAAGAGTTATAAATTGCAGATTTTGCAGATCTGATATCCTGGATAGTGTTTTGAGAAGCCACTTGCGAAACAATGTTCAATTGTTCTGTCAATTGATCTGCTTCAACCAAATTTTGATAGAATATATCTTGTTCGTCAATTGCATTCTCATCCAAATTAAAAATTTCATTTATTAGATGAATAATCACATGTCGAATGTAGATGATCATTTGTTGGATCAAAATACATTTTTGGTACAACATAAAATTGCATCACCCGAGTAATGATAACACAAGACCATGCAGTGATTTGAAAAAAAGCCACATAAAGATGTCCTTCCTGGCGGGTGGAGGACAAGGAATTTGGTAGAGTTTGAGGATAAGCAAATCCTTTTTCTCTACTTGGCTCCATTTTCTTGCATGTGTGTGCTTTTCAATTGCCTACAATCATAAATTGTAGAGCTTTTTTAAAAATTATTTCCAAATGAATAAATCTGATATTTATTATAAACAGGGTTGGCTTTGGACATGTTCAAATGTGTTGTAATTTGGTATTTTGATGATGGAGGTTGGGTTGGTGATAAATTTGATTGGGTTGGTGATTGAGATTGGGATTGAGATGGTGGAGTTGGAGTGAAGATTGGATGGTGGAGTTGGAGTGAAGGTTGTATGGTGATGCTGTTGTTGATCCTACACTTAATATTAATATTACTATTATGTGTGGATTATTGTCAGCATATGGTGGTGGTGAATTTGGATCAATAGCCAACGCCAACCCTGATTATGGGTGTCAGATTTATAAAATTTTCCTTTCACCAACAAGCAAGCGTCATGCGATTGCAAACCTCAATAACTATAGAATTCTATTTTCTACAGGTGAGGCAATTGAACAAGTTGGAAAGGCTTCGGACAAGCAAGAAGCTTTAAAATAATGGTGATCAATAAACTTCAGAGCATCGTTACCCCTCCCTGAAGTTTAATTCCATTATTATACCATTGGGGGATCAAGTCAGATTAGCCTTTTTTCACAAGGAATATGTGAATAATTGTAATATTTGAAATGCAATAAAATTTTGCATATCAAATCGTTGTTTAGTGTCACCAGGTTGTCCAATAGCAGTTTTCTACATGTGTGTAATATATATATATTTGATGGTTAAGTTATTGCCTTATAATCATTTTAATGATAATAATGTATGCTCACACAAAACAAATATATCAATTGTTTGTTTATTATCACACATGCCAAGGAGAGTACTTGAATAAGCTTCTCCTTACTGCATTCTGCAGAATGTACTTAAAAGTATAGATATCCTACCTTTTATTAAGTGTGTCTCCAGTGAGGCAACTTACTGATATAGGATTTGGCATGCGTTATCTGTTGAAATATATTTTAATAATATTTATTATTATTAACAAATATACCAGTCGTTTTTTTATTATCATGCATTACAAGGAATCTTATTTTCAACCTCCTTATTTTCCTATTGAAGGAGAGTGCTTTCACAAGCTTCTCCTTACTGTCTCCACCCCCAATTCTGTAAAGTATAGATATCCTTCCTACCTTTTATTAAGTGTGTCCAGTGAGGAAAATAACCTGCTATTTGCTGGGTGACACTGTGGAAGAAGACTTGCTGGGATTGTCAGGACTTGCGGAAGAGCCATGTACCAACCAAGGAATAGAATCTGGTGTGCATTATCTGTTGGAACGTATTTAATAATAATGTTTATTATTAATAATTAATAAATTTGTTTTTTTTAAAATAATGTTGTTCACAGTGATCAATGATTTTTACAGTGTAGCTGTGAAATTATCATTGTCCCCATGTAATAACCAATTTGTCCCATGGAGACCAATGCCCTGTGATTTAAAAAAGTTTATTTTATTGTTTAATTTTTATAAAATAAAAAATCTACTCATTTCTTTTATCCCAACCCATTTTTACTAATGCAAGTGCTCTTCACCTTTCCCAAAAAGTTCCAGAGGCTTCAACATCTACTTTGCTTCAAATAGAAATGGCTGATTCTGTTCCTCAAGATACTTTAATATCATTTGAAATTCAAGTTAAACTTAATTTTTATCACCAAGAAGCTCTATTAAACAAAAAATCAACATCTTGCTACTATGAATATTTTAATGCACATTATAGAACCATCAAGTATGCCCGAATTTTCTTTGAATGATATTCAAAAGAAATTTTCTATTTTTAATTGTCATTTTAATAATGTGATTTTTTAAATCTTAATAATTAATAATTTATATATGGCAGCAATTCTTTGTAGCATGGACAATAAAGTGAAATAAATTATATTTCCACGATTTTCAAAATATCACTATGAGGTTGATTTATGAACTAATTTATTCTTTGTGTTTATTATCACTTTATATATGAAAGTAGATGAAATTTATATAAATCTTGGTTAAAAGTATTAATTAAATCGATATTTGTAACGAATAAAATCATTTTGCCATTAATTATAATATTTCTATATTCTTTAGAATCCTACATTTAAATTTAATATAAAATCTTACTACAAATCTCTTCTCATCATTATGTTTATATTGATAATATAAATTGATACATTTATTGTCGAAGACAGCATCTATTTTCATTGAAGATAATGATATTTCATTCTCCTCCAAGTTCTCACTAGTTGGTACTTTTGTAAGGTTGAATTTGGATTTTCAATGATTACTTTCATATTTAATACATTTGTGTTATGAATTTTTTTTTACATGAAGAATGGAAAAGACAATTAAAACAATTAAAACAAAACTGACACCACAATATAGTATTGATAGAACATATTCAACAAAAGTTGCCTGAAATTAATATAATAAATAGCTGCAGATTCATAATTACATCCTTTCACAATTTACTACTACAAAGTCATTCGAATCTTTGACAATTACTTCCATATTTAATATATTTGTATGAAATCTCATATACGGGTAAGCTTGATGAATGGTTTGGGCATGGTGATCAGACCTATCAAAAGATCAAAACACATGATTTTACAAAAATAAAAGAATTGTAAACTCAATAAATGGGTCTGCTCAATCATTTAATGCCAACTTATCAAAAATCATCTTTATTATTCACTTTTACAAGTATTCAAATCATAAGTTTATTTTTATTTTTTTCTAAATCTTCAAATTTATAAATAACATTTGATTCACATGATGGTTCTTCTTTGCAAGGGATCTTTTATTAAGTTTATTAAATCTGTAAACAATTTCCCTTTGTATATGTAATTTTTTTAAATAAATAAATAAAATAAAAATATTGATATACAGTCAACCCTCCATAAGTGCACCCCCTTGGGACAACATGAGAGACCGTCCTATATAAGGAATGGATTTTCACAATTGATTTCAATTTTTTTTATACAGTTTAAAATACTTTTACA